AAATATTTATAAACCTTTCGATATTAATCTACCATTTGTTTGTAAATTTACAATATGTATAAATTTGTATAAATGAGTATGTTTAGTAATTTACAATTTATAATCAATTCCCTTGGTTACAAAGGAATGGTACAATAGTAAGGTGCAACATTAAGTTCCGCCAGAAAACTCAAACAAGACTTAAGAATTATCGATTTACAAGTATGTGACTTCAAAATCACTTGGCGTTATAAGGCGTTATAAGCATTATTGCTTAACGGCATGAATAGCGAAATTTCTGTGATGGGTGGCGATCATTTTTTTATTATCCCCTTTCTTTTGTAAAGCTCATTTATAATTTAGCACTGTAATAGGGTAAGGCAATATTAATTGTAATCTTGAGAAACTTCCGCATGTGAATACAAGTTAGACAAAGAACGACGACTTATTTCTGTCTGTCTCGCAGTGCCTTATCATATTGCAGCGACTCTGATAACCAATGATTACACGAAAATTGCCATGAAAAATCTTCGCTATAGAAGTTTCCGAACATGTATGTACAGTCATCTTTGATGACCCCATCTAATAAAATTAATCGTTTCTTACCATATATTTAGATATCTATATGCACTTTATGTTCCCCCGAAACTTTTGTGCACTTCTCGTACACTTTGTTCCCTAAAAGAGAAAATTTTGTTCATTTCTAATCAATATAAAAATCACTTTACATACATTTGTACGGTATGTTACATGGTTCTGTACTCAATATTATATCAGTAGAGAAAAACAATTGACGGAGTTAAATTGTAGCACGTACAATTATCGTATCGCACCAAAATAGCGGTGATGCAAAGAAAACAAGAAAATGTCTGGTATTTTATCCTGATTTTCCTTCTTCCACCAGCGAGACATGATAGTACATTCTAGCTCCAAAAAATTATTTTAACAAGTCTTCGTATTATTTATTAAATTTACCTATGTTAATTTAATAAAATATTACCTTTGAAAAACCCAACTCCCGTTTACTCAAAAAATCAATATAAATTGGAAATGATTCTTATTTAACAAGTTGTATGTCATTTATAGATAATTAACGGTAAGAAAGACATGCGGGGAGCATAATTAAAGTATCGATGAACATATGTTATAACATTACGTTGTAACATTTTATACAGTAAAGACTCGGTTTTGTGAGTGATTATTTTTATGTTCCATCATCTTTGTTCAATCTTCGACCACTACGCATTACACGAGAAGACACGAAGGAATCCAGAAAGATGTAGAAGTATTTGAGAAGTAGATGCGTAGAAGCAAACGTCAATAATTTAATTACTACTTCATGATCTAAGGTCAAATCTATTCATACAACGAAAAGAGGGGATACGGAAATAGAATGATTAAGTTACAGAAGTGACGCCCAAAACAGAAAAATGAGATAATGGTCAACAATTTTTCGTTACGTAACTCCGTCTTCTCTTGTTGAGATCTGTTAGTTTCTCCATTGGATTGACTTTAAAGCAGCTCTATATTTGTCGATCAAAGTGGTAGAGAGTCAAAGACGGATCATAAATTGTACCGTATGCGGTTATTCCGATAGAACAAAACAACGAAGTACTGAGAATGAGGAAGACGTTGAACATGTTATAATGTTTTCAAGGGAATTGGCAGATCTCAATTCAAAAGCTTATAATTGAAATCCTTAGGAATTACCCAATCGTATGTAATATCCTTCTTAACTCGCAGGTGGAATATATTGAAAGTAACACGAGACCGAGGTCATATTTAGTGCAATCACTGAGGCTTCGAAACACCCAAAGGAGAGCCGATAAGTGCAACTAATCGACATTCGGCATTATTTATTTCTTAATATAAATTAAACTCAATGTATCGTAACTTTCATTAATATCCATATAACGTAGGTACGAGAGGGACACAATTATGGAACAATCGCATTTTCTTTAGGCCCAATTCTATATTTCTGTATCATACTTTATATATATTTAGCATTCCGTTCTACGCTTGTCTGTAGTCTCATCAATTAGATTATTTAAATAGGTCCAGCCGCTTCTATTTTATTATTGTTTCAGATAAGTTGAAGCTGAATCAAAATTAGTTTTAATTGTAAAAATAATCCCTGATAGTAGTAAAGTTCTGTGGTGGCTACAAACGCAACAATAAATAAATCTGTACAGGTTTAACCGACATATGGATGACATGTAGACGTTATAAAAGAACCCGATTTAAATTCGCAGATACAAATCGCTATGATTTATCGTTTTGTCTGTACAAATCTTTAGACATCATTTTTTTCACGAAAATCTTTTCGCGGCTTCCAAAGAGAATTCCAAAGCCCAGAATTCGCGGTAGATAAATCGCATTGAACACAAGGTTATTAAAGTCTGAAAGATAGCACGTTAAGAATCTAGAAGGCCGCCCAAAGTTATATTAAACTGAAATAATGAATTGGTAAAAAAATGTCACTAAGTTTTAACCCTTAGTCATATTATCTTACGTCTTAAAATCCGGATGAAATGAAATACAACTGTTATTCTAGCAGAAAGGATTTGTTAGACTACACGTGTCTGGTTACCCTGAAAGTACTGAAGTCTTCTTCATAACTTCCTTGTAATGAATACTAATCATGATAAGACTGCAGCGCAGCAGTGGCCAATCCACGTATTATTTGTCGATATCTTGAATTTGTTCTATCAATGTTTACTAGATTTTGAAATAGCCTTTTCATCCATACCATTTGTCTTTGTATCGAAAATCTTTCTAAACAGATCGTTACTTGCGCAATATTTGAAACATTAAACGAAGCTGCTTCGGCATATTCTTTTAAATCTTTACAATATTAATTTTCGATAACTTCCACATACACGACTGTATGTATATTGAGAAAATCTCGTTGTAGTACATTTATTAATACCTATTACTTTTCTGATCTTCCTGTTGCCAAAACGTAAGATACATCTGTATTCAAAAGCTTATGAAATATCGAAACATTTCTAACAGTAGAAATACCCTTTCGAGGAGTAATAAGACTCCTAAATAATCATGATATCAACATTACCTTCTACATTAACGCATTTATACATTAATTTATCAGGTATTTGCACGGTATTTTATAGTTCCCACAGGTTGTATCTTTATATGTATTATAAGGATATATGTATCTTTATATGTATTATAACGACACCTCGCATAAAAATGTCTCGTATAGACCTCGATGAGAGTCGGAGAATGTAAGTACGCGTAATTCAACACCTAGTGAACACCCTACAAGGACATAATATTTCCACGACCCTTCACGGGATCATCGATCTTTTCAAGGCTTCATTGGTATTTACTATGGCCTCTACAATTAACATCAGCACCGAGGAAGTTCAAGTTATACAAGGTGTAACAGCTAGTTATCATTGTTTATTTCTTTTTATGTAGACTAAAGATTAAAAGCGTGGAGAAATAAAAGTTCTAGGGCACCAGCACCGAGGAAGTTCAAGTTATACAAATTGTAACGGCTAGGTACCATTGTTTATTTCTTTTTACGTGGACTAAACGTTAAAAACGTGGAGAAATCAAATTGTAGGGCTTAAAAAAAAAACATGTTGGAAGACATAGATGAAGGTACATTGCCTCATAGATTTGTATTAGTTACTTTCATTTTTAGATAAAATAGGCATAAGCTACTTTTTATGCAAACATATTACAAATAAATTACTGGATTGTACGGACGGTGTAACGCATGTATAGAAATATGTCGCTTTCGATACAAAAATATATAACACCCTCTGCATTTCGAGAAATAAGCACTTTTTTTAAAAGTAAATGATAAATCATCAAGAGGAAATAGAGATAAATGTAGGGGATTTCAAAATGTAAAATTGAGATATTCAACGTGTTGCAAGATTATTCATTCTCAAATCGCAGAATTGCAATATATTCTGAATTACGAAATTGTGTGACCTACAAAGTATTCGTAGGTAATAATTGATAAAATTATAGTTCGCAGCAAGATTGCAGAATGATGACGGAGTAGATAAAAACTTGCAATACGAGTTGAGTTGCAGAACAACTGTAACTATTTCCTAAGCCACGGTTATAAGTTAAGTTAAAAAGTATACTGAAGCAATTCTACCAGGTAAAAAATTTAGTATCATGTCTCGTTATGAAGCTCGATGTTATTATTTTTTGGAAAGTAGTAAGATTTTCACGGTTTCTCAAGTTAATAAGTTAACGGTAATACAGTAATTCAAAATAAAAAGATGCATACAGTTTCATGTGGATTGCTTCTGGTTCCCACCCTAAAGGGTTTTCATTTGTTACGTGAAGAATAGACAAGACTATGTTACATATTGACCCTGGCTTCATCGTAAATCCTCCTGTTGGTAACATGGCATAATATTGTGTATTACCAAGTGAGAACAGTAAATGACATTACCGATAAAATGCATTAAGAGCCAAAGAAGTTACAGATGGCGCTTCGGTTGAGAAAACAATTTTACCGATAACACCTGGGACGTATTTAAAATTCAAATTAAAACCTGCACCACGTCTTTTGTTCAGTTTTAACTTTGTATCAATGATCCTTATCTTCATTGAAATCATATCTTTATACATTCTAAGGGTTTATTATACGCATTATTATATTTCAAAAAAGGAGAACTTGTGATTTAAATGATCTATTTTACTGCGCAAATATGGCTTCTTCTAATGAATTTGTAATAAAAAATGGCTTCCATTAGTTTTGGGATTAACACCTTGCAATGGCCTCATTATTATACCCAAGGTATTCTATTTTTGGGACATGAAATATGCATTGCTGACATGCATTCCAAACATATTACCAAAAACTGCATTCTCTCGTAAACCTCATGTATAATGGAAGTGTAACGTCAATGTCTAGTCACCCGCAAGTGCAATGGAAATTAGTAATGGCCTCCATGCCCCTCTAGGTGGCATTTCCGTATTTACCATTGTTACATAAATCAGTTGAGAAGTCTTGTGCGTTATCAATTTGACATTCCATTTCAGTTGTCAGTCAGCTTTTAGAGGTATAATAGGGAAGGAAGAATTAGAAGAAAATGCTTAATCCAGAAATTACTAGAGATAATAATGCCAGAAATTCTGGTAATGGTGTCGTCATTTCCGGAATCGCGGGCAGATTTCCAGATTGTGATAACTTCACAAAATTTCAAGAAAATCTTCTAACGAAAGTTGACTGCGTCAAAACAACTACTCGATGGGATCTAGGTAATTATTGTTTAACAATGGTTTATATGAAACATTTTATAATCGGAATTAAGATGAATACTTTTCAATTATGTATAGTAAAATTGACAAGACATGTGAAATATATATTTTCTTTCAATATAAAGTATGTGTACTTTTGATAAACATGTAAATGATCTAAATTTATAGGGGTGTTATGCGTGCGCTTTTAAGAATTTAATAAGTCCAAATCTGCCTACCACCGTTTTAATCAATTATTTTCTGGATACTACAACTTAGCTTGATTTATTAGATCATCCATGGATACCGAAACGCATTGGCCAAATCAATAGCCTTACCAAATTCGATCGGGTTTTTTTCGGCGTACACGAGAAACAAATCCAAGTCATGGATCCTTCGGCGAGAGTAATGCTGGAAATTACTTATGAAGCTGTAATCGATGCCGGAATTAATCCACGAGAATTGCGAGAAAGCTCGACAGGAGTGTTTACCGGATCCAGCTATTCGGAATCTGAAAAATCTTCTTTTTATAAGAGAAGTGCGGTAAATGAATATGATGCATCATCGAAACTATTCATTTTCGTCGAGTGCGCAAATTTCTATTCCGTACAAGTGAATTGATTTGCAAACGCCATGAACCCTCCCTTTTTAAGTTTTCAATCCTCCTTATTGATGTTTTTTTTTATAGATTTATTTCAATCGTTGTGCATTTCTTTATTCTAAATTTCTACTGACTAATCGTTAAAAATGCTACTATCGGATGGTCGGAAAAGTAATGACGTATTTTCGTAACAGATGGCGTAGGAAAAATGCGACATGGCTTTTCTGACAACCCAATAATAGTAAACGAATGGATCGATGTAATCGAACCATGTTCACTAACAAGGAAGGTACCTGAGGTGTCCCCCTCCGATTTTGTTCATTTTTAAATATGTTATAGAGGACTAAAATCTAAGGGACTCGTGTTTTTTTTTATCGGCGGATAAACCCTTTTAGGGGGTGAAATCAGGCTTCAAAGTTGGCCGTGCAAGGGGGTGAGTTGGCTGTTTCATATAGAAGCACTCGTCCGATTTTCATGAAACAACCGTCAATATGTAGGGAATGAAGAATTATGAACCATGCATTTGGAATTTTTCGAAAAAATTCATTTTTAAGGGGTAAGCCACCCCTTTGAATACTTCTTTTACCCCTTACGCGAGCAGTAATTGTTCCATCCAAATGAAACTTTTTTTGTATTGTTCTGGTCTATAAATTAACCAAGTTTCATATCGATAGAGCAATTACTGCTCGCGTAAGGAGAAAAAGAAATATTCAAAGGGGTGGCTCACCCCTTAAAAATGTATTTTCTCGAAAAATTCCAAATGCATGATTCATACTTCTTCATTCCCTACATTTTGACGGTTGTTTCATGAAAATCGGACGAGTGCTTCTATATGAAACAGCCAACTCACCCCCTTGCACGGCCAACTTTGAAGCCTGATTTCACCCCCTAAAAGTGTTTATCCGCCGATAAAAAAAAACACGAGTCCCTTAGATTTTAGTCCTCTATAACATATTTAAAAATGAACAAAATCGGAGGGGGACACCTCAGGTACCTTCCTTGTAAGAAATAGTAACATAAGCAGAACGTTTCATCGTGAAAATCGCAGTAAAATGTTTTCGCACGAGTACCGCATTAGAATTGATTACCATTGAACTTCCTTTCGCGTGTACTGTAAACTTGAATAAAAATTCTACTTACATCATGTATTCTAGCCGTCATTCTACTTACATAATGCAAGTAACCTTCACGACTTGTAAGGCCATAACATTAAACACCAATTCAAAAGTGGATTACTCTTATGACACACGTTTCCTGTAAACGTGCTTCGTATAATTTCAATCGTTTAAGCGATTGATAAATAATTAATTATGTTTTCGTTCATAACTTGCGAATTTGTTGGCTACGAAACATAATGACACGCGCGGGTGAATGACGGTTCCAGCCATATACATATATATTCCATACACTTGTAGAAAATTTTCTTCAATGGCTTTTTTCAGCACTTTGCAAACCGAGGAATCTCTACCAATCTCGCCTTTTTCAAAAGATAGCTCAATCTTTATATTTAATGAAACGGTCGTCATTTTCAGAAAAACGGATTCGGTTTGATAGGTGCCAGTCGGGCGATGTTGTCGAACAGAATATCCTTTTATTTAGGATTAAAAGGTCCTAGTATCAATTTCGACAGCGCTTGTTGTTCAAGTGGAAATGCACTCGAAGAAGCCGTGCAAATTATTCAGAGTGGAGTATGCGATGCTGCAATTGTCGGTGGGTCATCACTCGCCTTGCATCCGTATTATTCCCTCCACTTTTACAAGTTAGGTACGTCTTCGTTTAACAATAACACAGCACATATACAATTATGTTCTGGAATTATCATTTTTATTCTCACAGGACTCCTTTCTGACGACGGTTTAACGAGATCGTTCGATGCAAACGCATCGGGGTATAATCGCAGCGATGGCATCGTTGCAATATTCTTACAAAGAGCTAATGTAGCAAAGAGAATTTATGCCGAAATAGTGAGAATATCAGGTCCTCACGTCGATTGCGTGATGAAGAACTCCGTTCAATTTCCAACCTTCGAGGAACGGGTAAAACTCATGGAAAAGACCTTAAAGGACTCTGGGCTTTCTCCATTGGATGTGACATATGTCGAAGCTGATGGTATTGCGATCAAAGAAGCAGATGCCGATGAGGCAAAAGCTATTGATCTGGTCTATAACCGTGGTAGAACAGCCCCTCTTCTCATCGGTTCTGTCAAATCGAACGTTGGCTATACGTTAGCTTCCAACACTTTGCTCTCCGTTCTTAAGGTAAATTCTGAAAATATTTCAAGAAACTATTTAATAAGTACCCGTGTTCTGCCATATTCTCTAGGACAGTATGAGCAAGCTACGTACTAATTTTGTCAACAATATCCATACAAATTTACATTAGGCATAAAAAAGATAACTATTTCCAAAGCAGCATACTAAAATCTCGATTTATAAGTATGTACTTTTGAAATGATACATTGAAAGAAAGCGTTACATCTCTGAGAATACGATTGTATGCGTAACAGGTGGTCGTTGCAATGGAAAATGGTAAAGTACCCCCAAATCTACATTTCGAAAAACCTCCTGAGACTATTGAAGCCTTCAAAACTGGACGGCTGCAAGTAGTTACCGATCTCACACCTTGGGATGGACAGTATGCCGTCGTAAATACCACATCATATTCGGGTAATTTTGTGCACTTAATACTAAAATCCCACGGTAAACGCAAGAAGAGAGGAGGCCAACCCGAAGATGATTTGCCACGAATTTGCGTGATTTCTGGTCGTACGGAAACAATAGTAACAGAAACTCTACAGGAGGTAGGTTTCTCATCCATGAATAAACCCAAGTTGTAGTTCACAATTGAGTGCTTTGAATTTTTTAACTGACAGTACTTAGCATGAATAAATATTTAAATTTTTCAAATACGTGAGCTTTACAAATAACTTGCTAACCACGTACAGGAAGACGATAAATTCACAATAAATGATTTTAATAGTTGGAAAAGAAGCCAGTAGATGTAGAAATGCTTCAGCTTCTGTATGACATACATCATACAAGTCTAATCAGTCACATGTACCGAGGATTTACGATTCTGCCCCCACGTGGAATTCCAGAGACACCGAAACGAATTGTTGAATATTATCCAGAATCGCCACGCGAAGTTTGGTTCATTTTTTCTGGAATGGGTTCTCAGTGGGTTGCCATGGGTACGTCCGAACGAAATGTTCAAATACTAATTCCCAGGATAACAAATTAAGTAGATTTATTATATAAGAGAAACGTATCTTCTCAGGAGAATCTCTCATGAGGCTGCCCATTTTTGTTGAGGCCGTAAAGAAATGTGATGCCGCTTTGAAACCGCATGGCATCGACATTGTTAAGATTCTGACTGATAAAGATCCAAACATGTTCGACGATATCGTGAATTCGTTCGTCGCAATTGCTACTGTACAGGTAATTACTTTACTATCTGTAATAATGGTAGGTGTAGGTTTACTCATTGCAAGATGAAAATCTCAGACGCTTCGATTAAGACATGATTTATTTGAATAATAATTACCACAGTAAAAAGCATAAAGCGTTAATTATATCATAGTCTGGTACTAACAGAAAGACCGACTAGGTTTACTTTAAATTCTTTACACTTATATCTTTTTTCAATTTTTTTGTCTTGATGTTTTAAATTAAAGTAATCTTTTAAGATTATGACAGTATAATGGAGCATCTCATTGAAATACAATTAAATTTTCTTGAATATCAGAAAATCGACCATCAAAACATGGCCAAGAGTTACAGTCGATAATTATAGTGAATGATTTCAAATGAAAACAATACACTTTTATGCGATAATATCGATTTGATAATGTTTTTAATTTTCATTAAAATAAATAGATAGAGCATGAAGTCTATTAATTTGGCAATATTTATGCTTACAATGCAGAAACTAATGTTGAAACTTTTTAGTTGTCGATAAACAATGTTGAAACTCTTTAGATGTCGAGATAAATGTCTTTCAATCCTCCAGGCTTAAAATCCATTAAAAAAGCACGCAAATAAATATGTAATAGTTCTTTAATAAAGAGAATATTGTACGCGAACAATATCTCGTTCAAAGGTTGGTTTAGTGGACCTGTTACGATCACTTGACATAAACCCGGACTTCATCATCGGACATTCTGTCGGTGAGCTTGGCTGCGCGTATGCCGATGGTTGTTTTACTGCCGAACAAATGATACTATCGGCATTGTCTCGAGGTCTGGCATCTAAAGAATCACCATTGATTCACGGTTCAATGGCAGCAGTCGGTCTGAGCTTCGAAGATGTCAAACCCCTGTGTCCACCTGACATTGATGTGGCATGTCACAATGGAGTGAACAGCAGCACGATCAGTGGCCCAGCTGAATCTGTACAAAAATTTGTTGCAGGGCTAAAGGTACGTTATTATAAATAATCTAGTCAAAGACTTAGATTCGTACTCATACCTCACTTTTAATATTAAATGACGTCTTTTAGATATTTAATGACAACAAATAAAAGACGCTTTTAGCTATTTGTGGCCACATGAAGATGGCTTCTAAAAGGTCTCCTTTATGAAATTTTTCTCTAAACTGAGAGTACCGAATAGTTTTGAAACTATATATGCATAAATTTGAAGCCATATTACATGAATATGGAGGCCCTGAGGAAAGCCCTGACAACCATAAAATTTAATTTGCATATGCAACTTTGTTTAAATTTATATAAAAAATGAAACTTTCTCAGAGCCTCCATAATTAAATGGAAAAATATCAAACGATTCGATATACGCAGTTTCAAGAGAAGTTCCATAGTCAATTGACTCAATTGGAAATACTTTGATGTCGCCTTAAGGACTACAAATAAAACACATTATTTAATCCTAAAAGTGAGGTATAAGTACGAAATTTGGTATGTCCACATTTTTAATTATCTTTGATTGTAATGTCAGGATAAGGGAATATTTGCGAAGGAAGTAGCTTGCAGTAATATCGCTTACCACAGCAGATACATCGCACCTGCAGGTGCTACTCTACTGAAATACCTGAAAAAGGTGATACCAAAACCACGTCAAAGAAGTTCCAAGTGGATCAGCACGTCCGTTCAATCTTCCGAACGGAATACCGCGAAAGCTCAATTTTCTTCTGCGGAATACCACACCAATAATCTTCTTAATCCAGTACTGTTTGCTGAAGTTATAAAACAGATACCTGCTAATGCAATTACAATTGAAATTGCACCGCATGGTCTACTTCAACCAATCCTTAGGATGTCATTGCCAAGTAATTGTGTCAACGTGCCATTGACTCAAAGAGGTCACAAAGACAATATCGAGGTCCTTCTACACGCTTTAGGCAAAATGTATAATGCCGGGTTGCAACCCGATTTCGCAAAATTGTACCCTACGGTTGAGTATCCTGTGAGTTGTGGTACTCAATCGTTATCTTCCCTTGTGAAATGGGATTATTTAAAAGATTGGTAAGTTTGCATAAAAGTTTCAACAAACGAAGAAAAATTAATTAACGGACGAAAGAACAACCGGTATTAAAGCAATCGCCGTCTCCTTGTTTTCATGTTTTTCGGCACGTTACAGCAAGAGAAATGTAATTAATTTAATATATTCTAAGAAATAATTTTTCTACATTCTTACATTGAATCAGTATATAACCTTGTCTAAAAGAGATAACATAGACGTGCGATTTCCATTTGTCCTGGTTTGCCATTAAAAAAAAAAAGAAAGATTGCCACGGAAACATTTCCGCTTTTATGATAAAAATATCTCTGATGAAATATTTCAGACCTGTGGGAAAAAATGTTATTACGCATAATTTAACTTATATACCACATAGTTCTTTCCATGTGCATGATTCAATGATCTTATTTCATGTCTTCATAGAATTTAATTTATTTTTTTCGACAAATATTTGACGTGATTCATAAACATTTTAGTGTTATATATGTTTCATAACCACCCTCACTACCTAGGTTTAAAATGTTTTTCCATAAAACATAGAATTGAATATCTGTGAACCTAAAATTGCAACTTTGATAAGGTTATTCATTGGGATAACTATACAAATTAGACGAAGCATTGAATCAAATTTCTTTAGATAACTTATTAGATGAAATTTTGTTTATCAAAAGGTATGTCGAAGTTCACACCGAACCGAAAGACTCTACAAAAGGCGAAAAGGTTTTCGATATAAACCTTGACGATGAGAATTTCTCTTTCCTCCGAAATCGTGACATCGACGGCAATATAATTTTACCCGTTTCTGCACATTTGAACTTAGTTTGGGAACTTATGAATAAACAACAGCAACAAATTCCCGGAGAGGTAGTCATTTTCGAAGATCTACACGTCCACGAATCTAATGTCACCATGCCAAGAAATGGCAAATTGAAGCTAACAGTAATGATTCAAAAAGGTAAAACATTATCAAAGATAATCGATGAACAATCGTGAACATATTAATATTACTCCATAGGAATTGTTGAAGAAACACAATTCACCTAGCACTCGTTCAATATCAAATTTATTAAGTAAAAGTCTTAAATATATTTTCATCGACCATTTATTTGGTTTATAATTAACCAATAACTTTGTTATCGTAATGTATAGGGGTTGAGCTTGCAATTTTTTTTGCTGCAAATAACAAATTTCTTTAGCTCTGTAATGCAAATAAGCATTTCCTCGATTTTAACAATATTAGACAACCTATGTGTTTGTTTCTTACATATATTTTCTAGGATCAAGTTTATTGAAGTGTATTTCGTTATTTATCACCTGATTCTGTTCGCGCAAATCCATAACAGCAATAAAGAAATAAAAATAGTACCAGTAAAAAGGTAAAGATTGACTTTCATATTAAAAAGACATGCATAGTAACGATACCTAAAGACACGACTGTATAACGTGGAGTACAATAAGTTTTAATTATTTTGATACGTTGCCGAAAATGTTTCAAACATATAATAAACACTACATGAGCAACTATGGGTAGAGCATGTTATAATGTAGTAAATCGATTATTTTTCACACATTCTGAGTGCATAGTTACAATATAATTATCCATGAAAATGATTTGATGGTCCACTAACATTTTTTATAGGTAGTAAAATGTTCGAAGTATCCCGTGAGAAAAATGTAATAATCAGAGGATTCATTCAGAATACAACATTATCAGTTGCCGAGTACAATATCAGTGATCATATCGGCAGACTTGAACATATTGATTTCTCCGAGGAAGATATCTATAGAGAATTGGAAATTCGAGGATTTCACTACAAAAAGGAGTTCCGAAATCTTCGAGGATACTCTAAAAGATCTTCTTATGGACTAATATTGTGGCGCAATAACTGGACAACATTTTTAGAAGGCATGATACAATTATATGTACTGGTCAATGATGCGAGATGTATCCAATTACCGTCGTTTATTAAAAAAATTGTAATTGATTTAAATATCCATAAAAAGGCTGTGACCCAATCAGAAGGTACGTACTCTACTGAAATACACCAAAAGTCTTTGTTATTTTAATACAATAAATATTCGACGCGTGAATTAATGAGAAGAAATATCGAGAGGCATAATTACAGCATGCATTTAATCTAAATTCGTGTTTCTGTTAACAGAAATTCCAGTTTTTGTCAATAAACGATGCAACATTATCTCATGTGGTGGAGTGCAGATCCACGGATTGCGTCTTACTCCACTAAATACGATTTCTGAATCATATAAAAAGATAATCAGTGAGGAATATCGATTCCTTCCTAATAACGACTTATTTGTCACAACGAAGACAAATGCGTTTCGTCACGCAATTCATCTGGTTGCAGAAAATATATTATCAATTAAAACGAATATAGTGGAATTGTTCGAAAAGGATAAAAACAGTGAAACGCCGTTGTCACACGAGCTCTACAATATCCTTGGCGAAGTACAAAATATCAATTTTAATATCGGGATACTTAATTGCGATGTTTTACAGCCGATACCTGCTGAATTACCAAAAAATGTAACACCGATGATCACCTCGCCTATATTAGAAGATGCTTCTCTTTTAATCATTGGTAATGTATACAAGTACAGTAAGAAGGAGAATCCAAGTAATATTCGAGCTGGTAATTTCTTACTCACGCTCGTATCGCTAAAGCAAGAAAACGATGCCATGAGGATTGCGAAATCAATGGGTTTACTCCTGGTGCTAAAAAAATGCCTTCCATCCGAATATACAATGCTACTGTTTCGAAAACGAGAAACAGTTGTAAGGTACAAAGTAGTAGAAGCAACTAGTCTTAGAAATGATACGGTTAATCGAATTGTAGAATCGGTGAAAGAAGCGAATGTCGATCGTATAATCGTGGTTTCCAAGGAAAACAATGATATCGGTATCCTGATTAACAAACTTAGACAACACACGTTACAAAAGAAACTTAGATTCTTCGATATAAGAGACCCAGGACCTCTTAGCATTTCGCTTGAAGACCCTATCTATAAGGAGCAATTACAGTTAGATTTAATATTTAACGTTTTAAAACCTAAAAAATCGTGGGGTACGTACAGAAGTTTACCACTGACACGTCAAGACCGAATAGCGTCCAGTTGGATGTTACATCAAGTACTTCCTAAAGATATGCATACACTTGTTTGGACCGAAGGACCCTACCACAACGAATATGAATCTAGAGGTCTAATTACTGTGGAATATTGTACAATCACAAGTTATGACGTTTCCTTAGCTACGGGAGAGGTTCCTCCAGAATCAATGGACACAGATCGCCAGAAGAGCCTCTTTGGATTGGAATACTCTGGAGTAGATTCCAAAGGAAACCGTATCATGGGTATCAAGTCTCAATGTGCCCAGAACTTGATACTTCCAGACCCTAAGTACTGTTGGCAAATTCCGAAAGAATGGTCTTTGGAAGATGCTGCCACAGTCCCATTTGCTTACATAACGGCGTACTACATCCTAAACATAAAATTAGGCATTTGTTCAAAAGAACGAGTCCTCGTCAACGTCGGTAACAAAGCGCTTTCGGAGGCTCTGATTAATCTCCTTATACGTGGAAATCACGAAGTGTTTATTACCTGTGATAGCGAAGAAGAGGGTGAATTTATCCGTAATAATTATCCATCCATTCGGGATGATCATCTTTGTATGTCCGACGATTTTGCGGATCAGGTAAATTCTGTAACTGATGGTGAAGGAGCTGACATTATCATTTGCGATGATGAGAACAGGAACTCTCTTCCATACGCATTGACTTGCAAATCAGAAGGGAGTCGTATTGTCATTATTATTGATAAGGAAGAAATAAGATTCCAGTCTGTAGGTATGGCTGCCTTCTTTGGACAGACAAGTGTATTCTCAGTTATTCCAAAGGAGCTCATCGATGTCTCGGTTAACATAAAGGAATCATTAAACATTTATTTGAGCAGAGGCATTAGATCAGGAGTCGTAAAGCCGTTACGACGAATTGTTTATCCCCACGAATTTGCAAAGGAAGCGTTTAATAGTGCCCAGTCTATGGAAAATAAGAAGGTAAATGATCTTCAATTGTGTCGTTAAGGTGATATGAAAGTGACGTCAAAGAGATCTCGTTTATAATACTTTTCTCCGAACTGAGTGTACTGAATCGGTTCAAACTTTATAATGTGAATATGGAGGCTATAAGGAAGGTCCTGACAACCATGGAATTTCGGTTTAAAGAAATGTTATTATTAGACATTTTTTTAATTTTGCATAAAAAATGAAATTTCATGGATGTCGGGACTTTCCTTGTAGGCTCGATATTCACGTTGTTAAGTTTGGAACGATTCGGTACACCCAATTCAGAGAAAAGTTTCATGAACGATACCCCTCAGATGCCACTTTTACGTCCTCTTAATTTCAATATACTATTCTGAATATTTTTGATTGGTTTCCTTTTTCTAGATCCTGCTCAAAGTGCGACCGAAAAAGCCTTATGCCGATCGAGCTGTAGTAATTCCTCGTTTTCATTGTGACAAAACTAGTAGTTACCTTATCATGGAAGGTCATAGTGTTTTCACAATGGAATTCATCGATTGGTTGGTAATTCGTGGGGCTAGAAGAATAATTCTTACTTCCTCGAAGAAGTTAGAAAATGGTTACCGGAAAGATCGGTTTGAAACTTGGCGCAGCTACGGTGTAACCATAATTGTTCTCAGTGATCTTGACTTATCAGAAAGGCAAAACTGTAAGACCTTGATATATAAAGCAACGGAATTAGGCCCATTAGTAGGCATTTTCGATCTTCGGCGAATGCAAACGGACGAATTGTTTGATTTAATCTTAAAATCTACGAAATTCCTCGATGCGGAAACTCGATTGTCTTGCCCACGTCTCAGGTATTTTGTTATTTGCTGCCATTCCTTGTTGAGTACTGAGGATTATCGCACCGGGAGATGGATTATTCCAGCTGAACATGAAAAAGCGATAAAACTGTGCGAGACAAGATCAGAAGAGACACTCCCTGGTCTTCTTGTTCTTTGGAATAGTGTATATGATCCAGTTACCTTTGAAAATAATTTGTCAACCAATTTTGACTTGGCATCAGTTAGCAAATTCTTTGCACAATTTGATTTTTTCTTGCACTCTTCGGCTCCTGCGGTTATTTTCACCGATTACACCGAATCCGAAGTAAGCTTACGGTTCATTAGTGTAGTCATTACTCTACGTTTTTTTTTATGATATAGCAAATAACCGCTCTTATTCGTTTTTCAACTTTTCAGGCGATTGAAGATGTATCAGAGCGCAATATCTCAGATGTCACTGACGAGGCAGCTTTATATAAGGAGCAACTTTATTCACAATTGAGTGGATTAAAACTTGAAGCGTTTGCAAATCTACGTGAACATGCTCTGACTGTATCCTAAACGTTGTTTAGCTTTTTATAATGTAGACTTAGTATAATGGTATGTAGAAACTAGAATTTGTAGCACTTGTACATGATTATGAATGGGCCTACATTAATTAAATCTCTGACAAATCTGTGTTATTAATGCTATCGTCGTAGATGGAAATGGTGATAAGATCATCTATAGGTGAAATATATAAAAGTAACACTAATATCTATCTGTACCTGATATGGTTTGACTTGTACTATCGTTGTCGGGCAATAAAAGACTACAAACTTTATGTATTGAAACCTCTTGCCGACATCACTTACCAATGTGAGAACTCACGATATGGTGCTATATTTAAAATATCCATCCTCCCCTGTTCATATAATACTAATTAATTTACTACTTACCCTCTGACATTAATTTAATTTTCAGAAAATTAAATACAGAATCGAATAATATTAAAAAATGGAAATTAGTGAGTCAATTTTATGTCACGGAGCGTACAAGCTAACGAGAATCACGATTTAGCAGGTACACCACGAAAGCTCTACCCACAGTATCAACCAACGCTCGTATCTGCCAGAGTTGGATAAGTAAAAACAATGTAGTTACAGTACACTGATGCAGAGTTTAAAACTTATTGTCTTCATCATTCACCGACTCGTGCGATCCATGTTGTTCACGGCTCCCGTGCTCAGTGTTTAACGATGAATTGATATTTAAGGTAAGTGAAGGGTGAAATCAAAGAGAGCGCCACGAGTGTTCTTCCCTTAGCATGAAAAGCGAGCAGTGTCGGTAAACGTAGGTAAAGCATCACCGTCAACTGCCGCATGTATTAACAGAGATGAGTTGGGAGATTGCTCACGGGCAGGGTCGCGCGATCGCACCGTGTGCTGCTCTCTGATTTCGTACGTTAGCTTTCACCGTTTTTTGCCCC